TTCAACGAGGACAGCCCAACGCGTCTCCCGGTCAACGGTGCCCCCAGCTCTCCCGATGTTTCCCTTGCCAGTCTCAGCCTGGTAGCCTCCACCACCTGGAGCACGGAAATCAGCCTGGGGAGCGATCACCTCCCCATAGTGCTCGAATTGGCCACCTTTGCTGACCGTATCAAGGCTCCAAACAGGCACTTCATCAACTTCAAGAGAGCCGACTGGACAGCGTTTACCGCCGAATGCGAAGCTGAAACCGATCTTCTACCGCCCCCCACCTGTGTCCACACGGCGGAGCGAGCCGTTCGTCAGCTGCTTCCGGCAGCAGCAGGCCACCACATTTCGAACGGCCGAATTCCCATTCTCCGTCCAAACGAACCGCCTGAAGCCTCTCGACTGGAATGAGAGAGAGATGAGATACGAGCGCGTGATGCAAATGACCCGTGTGTCGTCGAACTCAATGGCTTGACCACCAAGACCGTCAACGACTACAAATTGCAACGTTGGCATGAACTAGTTGCAGATTGCAATTCCAGCGGCAACTTAGCTGCCACTTGGAAATTTCTACGCAATCTGACCTAGCCCCGGGCTGACACACCTAACCAGTCCATTAGCTTCGGAGACGGCATTTTCATCTCGAACAACGGTCAACAACAACTGTTCTCGCCCTGCTCAGTGTCTAGTCCCAAAAGCCAGCCTTCCCTGCTTCGCCTCCTCCATAAGATCCCGCCTTCGGACATTTACTTCTCGGTCGATGTTATCCTGACCGCCGTCAAGAAAATGAAAGCCTCGAAAGTCTTAGGACCAGATGGCCTGGCTCCTTTCCATTTGCGCCATATCGGCCCTAAGGTGGCTGCCTACCTGGCTGCCATTTTCAACCTTTCGCTGACCAGTTCAATCATCCTCGATTGCTTGCGCCAGTCCATCATCATCCCCCTGGTCAAAGCTGACAAGGACCCCAGCCTAGCGACCTCGTATGGCCCAATTGCCCTCCTCAGTCGACTGACGAAGATCCTGGAACGACTAATCCACCCAATTCTGACGTCTGCAGCGGAACTGTGTTGCCACCAACATGGCTTTAGGTCGGGTCGTGGCACAACAACGGCGCTCTTCGAGCTCAGCGACACCATTCCCGAAGGCTTTAATCAACAGAAGCCCGCTTCGCGGATCGTGGCAGTCTCAATTGAATTGTCACGAGCCTTCGAATGCGTCCGCCACTATCAGCTCCTGCAGGACTTGGTTTCTCTGAATGTCCCGGCTGGCCTGATCCGATGGTTGGTGGCTTACATCCCTGGCCGCCACGATCGTGTCCTTTTCTGTGGCGCTCTCTCTAAGCCCCGTGAGCAGACCTGCAACGTTCCCCCAGGCTTCGTGCTCAGTCCGACGCTCTTCAATATCGACATGCGAAAGCTCCCACTCCCCCGGGCACCTGCGCAAGTTGTATCGTACGCGGACGATGTTACTTTCTTCTTCCGGCACCATCACATCGATCAGGCTGCGCAGCTCCTTACGGAGTTCATGCCCGATGTCGAAAACTTCTTCACGCAGCGCGGAATGATGATCTCGGCAGCAGAGTCGTCCATAACTGTTTTCACGCTGGATCCGAAGGAGTTTAATCGTCACCCGGCCATCGCCGTCAACGGTGCGGCCTTACCGCTCGTCCGCAAGCCCATGCTCCTTGGCGTGTGTTTCGATCCGCTTTTCACGTTTGCGGACCATGCCAGGGAGGTCGCAGGCAAAGTGGGCCGCTGCATCAAGGTCGTCAAGGTTCTAGCAGGCAAATCCTTGGGCTGCTCGAAAGATACTCTGGCGACCACATTCAAAGCGCTGGCCAAGCCGCACCTCACTTATGGGCGACCAATCTGGCCTCCTACGATCACCTCTCCCAGCCTCCACCGCCTTCAGTCAGCACAGAACGCTGCCCTCCGCACGAACACGGGTTGCTTTAAAATGTCGCATATCGATCATCTCCATGCAGAGGCTTCTGTCCTGCCGGTCGCCCATTAAAACAAACTCCTAGGCCAGCAGTTCTGGTAGACCTGTTCGCAAACCGGCCATCCTAATCACCCGCGTTGCCGCGCTCCTGAGCCCAGCAGCAGCGTTCGGCCGTCTGTTCGAGCTCTCCACTAGGGAGATGTCGCCCCTCTCTCTCGGACCTACCCGTTAATAGCTCTACCACCAAAACAGGCTTCTAAAGTCTCCACCAGGAGAAACGAGGTTACCGTTCCCCGATCCTTTTGGGTGGCTGTCCACTCCGATTGCGGCCTCGGAACGACATCTCCCAAGGGTCACTCGCTGTACCCTGGAGCAGCTACGCAGTGGCTACTGCATGCTCCTTCGCCAGTACCAACACCGGCTGGATCCGTCCACTCCAGATAGTTTTCCCGACTTCGTGACTGTCAGCAGACAGCCAGGCACCCAACTCACTCCCGCGGACCTTTGGCTCAAGCCGATCGATGTCTCGGCTTTTCTCCATCGCCTAACTACTCCCAGTTTGGATTCCGGCGGGGATTCCTGGTCCAACAATGGGCTA